GGGAAGGGGAAAAAAATAAGAACCAAGAGACTCATGTAATGGTACAAGATCCCAATGATGAATGTAACTCTATTGTACACCTAAAATGTACCAATAAAGTTAATGGGGAAAAAAAATAAAATAAAATGATCAACTGAAGATAAAAAAAAAAAAACAGGTAAATACATTGTGGTAGGTGCATAAAATGGAATACCATCATAGCAGTGAGAATAAATGCAGTATTAGCTGTACTCATCAACCTGGACAATTCTCCAAAGCAATACTGAACAACTCACAAAAAGAATAAATATATTTAGATGATACTCAAATGAGTAGAACAAAAAATACTTATTTTTTGAAGATACACACATGTATTAAAAATTGTTTAAAGCAAGAGAATGATTAACACAGATTTCAGTACAGGAGTTACCTCTGGTTGAAAGGAAAGTACCAAGGTTAAGGCATATTTCATAGTGATCATTCTTAAATCCAGATGTATTATTCAAAGAAATCAATCAATATACAAATCAAATTATATATTCTTGGGCATAGGGCATGGCAATGAGCAAAACTTTTCCAATTTCCCTTGGAGCTACATGGGATTGTGTGATGAAATTTCAAAACATTTCCAATCTCCTTTGCAGCTACATAAGATGGTATGATGAAATTTGGGCCAACAGGATATGAACAGAAATCATGCGTGACTTCCAGATTTTTCCTTAAAGCTGGAGTCCCTGGCCCTGGACTCCATTTTCTTTCCTTTTCCCACACACTGGAATATAAACATGGAGGAAGCCAATTTCAATCATGTGCGAGGAAAAACAGCTAGGGAGATAATGAAGCAAGAAGATGGAAGAAATGTATGTTTCTGAATGAGACCTGGATCTCTGCTTCCATGAGCAAGGCCCTGAGCACAGCCTTTGGATCTCTTTCCTCAGTCTTAGAAGATAGGATGAAGCTTCTTTTTTCTGAATTCACTGTATTTTGGAGTCTCTGTTCCAGCAGTTTAGCTTGTACCTTGACTAACAATCTAGAAATTTCATCATCTCAGTGGCTAGGAATGATCAGGCCAGGACTTGTTGGTTAAAAAACACAAGAAACCAAAACAAACACAAGAATTCAAATTAAAAAGCATACTAGGAGAAATAAAACAGCAATACCCCCTGGAAGGTGGATAATCAGTACATTCCCTCTCTCACAATGAAGCTACATGGGAAGCTCAGCCAGACTCAAAAGCCATTTCAGTGAGTTACCAGAAATATTTCAAGTTCCTGTGGTCAGCTCATTCTCTCCCTGTAGACAGACCCAACATTGGGATCAAGTTGCTTTATGGGCATGAAATCAAAAGAAAGGGGAACAGATAAATGTCCAGTGAATATGCTGTCAACTTTCATGACCATAGTAACCAGAAGTACTCAAAACCAATGCCTAAATCTCCCACATTTCTCTTCACTTTAGAAATGGTGTTGCAACTCTAAACAATAGGTCAAAGTTAGATAGTCTTTTGCCTTGGACAATGGGTGCCACCAAAGTTTGCCTCTGTGACTTTTCTTATCCCAAGGACTGGATCAGAGACAGTTGCTTGTCTTTAAGGACGTTTTCATCTGTTTTTGAGGAAAAGAAAGAAATATTTCCCTAGATTATCAGACTTATGTGAAGAACTGTGTTTGTTCTGAGATATGCTATTTGTTATTTTTTAATTGTAAAACATTTTTTTCTTTTAGGACATGATGGTGGTCGTGAACTGTTGGATAATTTTCATGCCAGTCTTTTGTAAATTGGACAGTTGAGAGTACTTCATCAGGTCTTCCAATTTTTTTTAATCTTTTGTTTGTTTTGTTTGGCTTTGTTTTTTGAGACATAGTCTCATTATGTAGTTTAGGCTGCCCTTAAATTCACTGAGATACTCTTGCCTCCTCCTCTCAATTACTGGGATTACAGGTGTGCACCACCATGCCTGGCCTCATTTTTTTTTTAACTAGATCATAAAGCAAAAAGTCCTGGAAAAAAATGTTTTATTCTGCTATAGTTAGATAACGACTTTTTTTTTTCCAGTACCGGGGGTTGAACTCAGGAACTTGCCCTTGTGAGGCAGGGGTGGCAGATAACAACTTTTTTGATTAAGATATGACAGTAACTTCAAACTGGTTACATTGAAATTTCTGGACACTTTTGGCCATTCCTTTTTTGTTGTTGTATTAGCTAGATTCTTAGAGAATATTCTATTTTATCACATTTATAAGGCATACTATTTTACCTCAAGGTTTTTGTTTTGGGTTTGGTTTGGTTTGGCTTTGTTTTTTTTTTTTTTTTGAGGTACTGGGGATTGAACTCAGGACCTTGTGCTTGCGAGGCAGATGCAGTGCCACTGAGCTAAATCCCAGGCCCTGATTTGGTTTTGAAACAGGGACTTGCTTTGTAGTTCAGACCGGCCTTGAGTTCACTATATAGCCCAGGCCTCACACTCACAGCTCTTTTCCTGCTTCAGCCTCCCAAGTTCTGGGATTATAGGCATGTCCTACCATGCCCAGTATACCTCAAGGTTTTATAACAACCTATGACTTGACTTTCTGAGAGCACAAGAACCCATATTATTGTCATATAGTAATATTAATAATAGCTAACATTTCTTGAGAATATACTATATGCTAGGAACTATATAAGTTCTTTACATGGTGTTATGGTTTGGGTCTGGGAACCCCCAAAGCCTCATTTGGTCAGAGGTAGCTGAATCTGGAATGTGTGATGCTGGGATTAAGAGAGTGTGGTAACTAAACCACTACATGTGAGTGGTATAGCACTGCCCTAATCCTGGTAGCCTGGGTGGGATAAAGGAGGCAGAAAGATGCCATGAAGTTCCCTTGCCTTTGCTACCTTGTGTGCATCATGTTGTTTCTTCTCTGTGATGCCTGTTTGCCATCCCTGTCTTGGAGCCAGCCAACTGTGGACCAAAACCTCTATGAACTGTAAGCTAAATAAACCCCTTCCTCTCTAACTTTGAAGGTCAAGTATTTTGTCTCAGCAACGAGAGAAAAGTAATTAACACATATGGATTAATCCAGGTTGTCCTTACAGTAACCCTTATGAAGTAATTATAATTATTATTTGCATTTTAAAATGAGAGCACAAAGAGGTTATTAATTTATCCAAGATTACGTAGCTAATAACTAGCACTAGAACTCAAAACCAAGCATCTGATTCTAATGACTGTGCTCATAACTGTAGGAGATGCCCTCTTTCTTTCCTTTTTCCTTTCTTTTCATGTTTCTTCTTTTTTCCCTGTTGTACTGGGGGGGATTGAGCCCAGGACCTTCACACTGAGACTTTTTTTTTTTTTTTTTGACACAGGTCTTGCTAAATTTCCCAGGCTGGACTTGAACTTGTAATCCTCCTGCCTCAGCATCCTAGGGCCCTGGGATCACAAGTGTGCCACCATGCCTTGGCTGGGAGCTGCCTTCCTATTGGGAATTTGAACCCTGGTTTTCTGTGAGACAGAAGTACTCCCTTCATATATAAGCAACTGGCATTTTAAAGGGTAGAATACTTCCAGGCCTTGGTACTACTGCCCCCAGCACCGAGGAGCAGAGCTGCCTCCAGCATAGTGGAGGTAAACCTTCTGGGCCACCATACCATCACCCCCAGCAGTGAGGAGGAGTGCCACTCTGGCGCCAGCAGCACCCACCCCACCCCATCCCTGCCAAGGAAATGAGAAGACACTTAAACAAGTCTCAAAAACAGACTCCCAGATTACCTAAAGCAACCCCAAAGGGAAACAAGATGGAACAATCGGATACTCAACCACCTGGACTCCCTGAACTGGCAATGAAAGAGGATCTGGAAAAAATGAAATCAGAAATAATTTCTCAGATAACAGCAGAGATTATGCCCATAGTGCAAGACATGATTAATAAGTCTAGAGAGGACACAGATAAAAAAAAAATAGAGGAGCTGAGGAACATGATGGAATCTCAACATAGGAAACAAATGGAATCCATAAAATAGATGCAAACAAACTTCCAGGAGATTAAAAAATCCACTGAAAGTTTACACAGCAGAATGAGCCAATGGGAGGACAGAATTTCAGATATAGAAGATAAGATTGCAGTTAGTGATCAGGAAAAGAAAAATTTCTTTAAAATAGTAAGGGACCATGAGAAATCAATCCATCAGCTGCTAGACCATGCAAAGAAGAATAACATAAGACTGATTGGAATCAATGAAGAAACAGGAGAGAATGAAGATGACATTAAAAAAACAACTGTTCACAGAAGTGATGGCAGAAAACTTCCCAAGCAGGGGAAAAGAACTTGGCATACAAATAAGGGAAGCATATAGGACTCCAACTAGCCTTGATCAAAAAAAATCTACATATAGGCTTATAATAGTTAAGATTCCAGAAAACCAACAGAAGAACAAAATTCTACAAGAAGTTAAAGAAACAACTTGCATACAAAGGAAAGCCCATCAGAATCACAGCAGACTTCTCAATGCAAACCTTCAAGGCAAGAAGAGCTTGGAGTGATGTATTTCAAGCCCTAAAGGAAAACAGCCTCCAACCCAGATTGATGTACCC